ATTAATTCCATCACTTTGTCATCATCCTCATGTTGCCTAAAGCCTGGAAAAACTTCCAGGTGCCAAAATCCGGGAATTGCAGGTAAGAAATGGAATTGCAGGGACAGTTCCAGAGGGAGCGCTTGCCCGGGTGAGTTCGAATGGATCCAAACAAAAACCTGGGAATGTTGGAGGGAAAACCTCCTCTGGAATGTTCCGCTGTGATGGAGCAGATCCCCACTGGGATCTCCAGGGCTGAGGGCAGGAGCGAAGGGGACAGGAGGAGATTTGGAAGCCTTTAATTAAGAGCAATTCACTGGAAAAACAGAGCAGGGGAGCAGAGATYCTGGTGGGATCCAGGGATGGAGCTGTTCTTATCCTGGGGGGCAGCAGCTCATTAAACCTCAAAAAAAAACCAACCAAAACAAACAAAAAAAAAACAACAAAACCCAGGAAAGCACGTGGATTGGGAAAAACTCCATTTGGGATGGGGCTCCTTTGGCCACGAGCATTTTGAGGGGTATTTTTAACAAATTAGTCCAGATGAGTTTGGAGGGGATTTGCTCCTGAATGGGTTTGATGATTCCCTGTGGAATTTTCTGTTCTGCGTCCGTTCAGCATCTCCGTTTGATTCTGAGTTGGAAATTCCCACCTTTGCATCCAGATTTCCCACCTTTGGATCCAAATTCCCACCTTTGCATCCAGATTCCCACCTTTGCATCCAAATTCCCACCTCTGCATCCCAACAGCCCTTCCTCGCTGTGGGCACCGTCCCCTCCTCCCGCCCGGCGGGGAGGACTCCTGGAATCGATGGCACAGCTCATTGCCAAGGAAAAATCAATCAGCTGATGGAAAATGCTCTGGGCTCCTCCTCCCTCCCTCCCTGTCCCTGCGGGGAGCTGGGCTGCCTGCGAAGGAGCAGCTTCAGGGATATCAGCGGGGATTAGAGGGGAAGGARTCCTTAATTCCAGACTTTTCCCACATTTTTTTTTTCATGGCACAGCAGGATCAGCTGGGATTCCCATCAATCCGGGGGGAAAGGGCTCTTCCAGGGCTTCCTGGAGCAGTTTGGTGACACTTCTCCATGTCCATCATCCTTTTTCTATTCCCAAAATTCCCTCATCCCATTCCAGATGGCAGAACATAAATCCTGGGAATCCAGGATGCCCCAAAAGCAGTGAGGATGTGGATTTGAATTCCTATTAATAAATAATTCCAGGGAATGGCTCCCCTCGGATTGTGGTGATGGATCCCATGGAATCTTTGGGAAAGAGGCAGGAGAGGYCCCTGGGAGGGATGGAGGAAGGAGAAATGGAGAAATGGAGAGGGGAAGGTGGAAAAGCCGATGGATCTCTGAGCCGGGAGGGTTCTGGCAGCCTGGCACTGCTTAGGCAGGATTTGGGATGAATTCCACCCAAATTCCTTTTAATTTGGTGGGGAAATCACCAGGCATCGTGTTGGAGGAAGGTGGGGAACAGAAAGGATTGAGTGGGAATGGAAAATAGGAAAATGAGAAACAAAATTCATATTATAACAAAAAACCAGAAATGTCGTGGCAGAAAAAATCCTTAGAAATGAGTTCAGAGGAAGGTGAAGGGATAAGGGTTAGAAAATGAAGCATGGCTGGGTTTTACCACACAGTTAAAAGCTGACAATCCCAATTTTTTCTGGAGCAGCAGGAGAAGGAGTGGCTGAGGATTAAAAGGCCTTGGATGCAGCCTGACCCAAACTGTTCCATGMYTCCCTGKGTATTTATCTGAATTTTTGGGCTGATTTTCTGCTTCCCACCAGTGCCAGGACTGAGCTTTGTGGCTCTGCCATGCTTTGGGATTTCCTGGCAGGATGGAAGGGGCTGTGTCCCCTCTGTGTCCCCTCTGTGTCCCCTCTGTGTCCTGGCAG